AACAAGTCTCCTCCATTGGCGCAACGTTCCTTCTCCCCTACCTGTAAAATAGAGCCTCTCACTCATTCCATTTTTTTCTTTTTCTGAAGTATTTTTACGCTCTCATTTTTATGGCAAGTTGATTTTCGATCTTAAAGATGTTTTCAATTTTCAAATTAATTTGCCAAATAAAAATATTTTAAGATTTTTATCGGATTTTAAGAAATTTGGATGTTGAAATTACATAATTGTGAAAGTGATTTGAACGTGTAATCCTGTCATTGACTATGTCTTTGATCATTAGAGGTGCCAAATTCGTCTTCTCAACACAATATATAATGTAAGTTTAGCATTCAAATTTTTGTTTTTGTTTTCCAATGGGTTTCAACTTATTTTGTAGATAATTATTTTTCTTATCGAATGTTTTTGATTTTCATATTTAATTAAAAAAATTTAAGTGTTAAAATTACATAATTGTGAAAATGATTCGAACTGGAATCCTGTCATTAACTATGTTTTTTATCATTAGAGGTGCTAAGTTTGGTTTGTAAATAACTTTTTTTTTTAAGTTTATCAAAAATTTTAGTTTACGTAATACTATTCGTACATGAAATTATGTCTTCGACCTTTTTTTAACACTGAAACTATCAAATTGTAAAGAACGTGAAATGTAAATATATCTTCTTCTTTTTTTGCTTCTTTACAATATACAAAAATGATTCGATACACCACTAAAGTTTTGTATTCTCAATAAAAAATAACCACAAACACAGAAGAAAAAAAGAATCAAAACCAATGTACTTGTTACAAGGATTTGTAGCACGAAGAAGATATATTATTGGTTTGGCTTATGGTCCCATTTCCAAACAAAGGCGTCAGATTTACGTTAAACCTTAAGAAGAAAATGTCTTATCAAGTTCAGAACTTGTTGAACTTGTAAAAATTAATGTAAAAATTAATCGGAATTGATGTCATATTTAATATTTCAACTTTAGGATCGAACTAGTTGTAATAATTTACCCATTTCCTAACAAGTAATACATGATCGAGTCTACTAGATCGAATTTTGTAACTTGTATTACTTGCTACAAACCACTTATAACTTTGTCGGTTTTGTGTTG